CCCCAAGGGGCTGCCCTCCTATCCCCCCTTTCCAGGTAGCACAAAATAAAGAAATGCATAAAGAAACGTCTTTATATCCTGCCTTTCTCCATGCGGGGACTCAAGGCAGCTGACCTCTCTCCACGCTTCTTCCGTTGCCTTCGTTGGAGTGTCAGAAGGCAGACGGGATCAGACGCAGAGGGGTGCGTGTGGGGCGGAACCAACCCTCTCATCCCCTTCCCTCTCCCCACTTCAGCTTGACGTCCAGCCCCCCCTAGTTCCAAGGGCGGCCTTCCCAGCCATGGAGGCCCCAATGTGCCTGATAGAGAACAGTCCCGGGCAGCCCCTCCGCATCAATGCGCAGGCCCTGGCCATCCTGCAGCGCATCCATCTGCCGGTGGTGGTGGTGGCCATCGTGGGACTCTACCGGACGGGGAAGTCCTACCTGATGAACCGTTTGGCCGGAAGGGGCACCAGAGGTGAGCGAGGAAGGGGAGGTGCCTGGGCCAGACCATTGTTGGGGGTCCTTCCTGCCTCCACCGCAAGGGGCACCCTTCTCCGACTGTCCAGATGGGGCTGCCTGGTCTCCTTCTTGCATCCCTCACTCCCAACCCTGAGAAGCCTCCTTGGGGGACGACTGACCACTGCTTACCTTCTGACCTCTCTGGCAGGCTTCTCTCTGGGGGCCACGGTGCAGGCCAACACCAAGGGCATCTGGATGTGGTGCCTCCCCCACCCACTGAGGGCCGACCAGGCGCTGGTGCTGCTGGACACGGAGGGCCTGGGGGACGTGGAGAAGGTCAGCCGGGATGGGCCTTTCCTTTGAGGGAGCCATGGGGAGGGGGAGGGCTTCCTGGGGAAGGGGCTCCTGGCCGAAAGTCTCTCTGGACTGACTTTGAGGGTCCGCCCTTCTCCTCCTTTGCAGAGCAACACCGAGAACGACTCCTGGATCTTCGCCCTCTCCGTCCTCCTGAGCAGCACCTTTGTCTACAACAGCATGGGCACCATCAACCACTATGCACTGGAGCAGATGCAGTATCCTTCCAGGGAGCCTCTGGGTCTGGGTTGGGTGGCCCTTGGGGCCCCTTCCAGGGCACATGGAGAAGCACCTGGGGGAGGGGGGGACCTTGCCCCTCCATTTGCAGGAGAAGGCACTCCCTTAGCTGCTGCTCCCAGCTTTGTGACGGAATTGTCGCAGCACATCAAGATGAAGGCCTCGGACAGCGAGAGCCACGACCTGGCCAGCGCCTTCCCCGCCTTTGTTTGGACCGTGCGTGACTTCACTCTGCAGCTGTGCCTGGAGGACGGGACCCCCATCACGGAGGACCAGTACCTGGAGCGGGCGCTGGAGAGGAGGGCAGGTGGGGCTGGCAGGGGCTGGAGGCGGGGCCAAGGCTGGGTGGGAGCCTCTTTGGTGAGACAGGTTGCTGGAGGAGTGCTTCCTTCGGTGCTCAACTCTAGCCTCTGGCATTTTGGAGCATGCCTCCCAGCTGCCATGCCTGTTGCTCTAATGTTAAGGGCCCATCTGACCAGTGTTTGCTCCTTTCTGTGGCCCGGCTGCCCAGCTGGAGTCCCGAGGAGGGTGCGATTGTTGCACCCAAGATTAGGAACAGGGCCCTCTAACCCAGTGGTTCTCAACCTGTGGGTCTCCAGGTGTTTTGGCCTACAACTCCCAGAAATCCCAGCCAGTTTACCAGCTGTTAGGATTTCTGGGAGTTGAAGTCCAAAACATCTGGGGACCCACAGGTTGAGAACCACTGCTATATCATTAATTACACCACACCTTGGATGAAAAAAGAGTCATCTTTATTTGAAGAATAATTGGAGCCAATAAAAGAGATGAATATAAAGTTGATAAAAGTCCAAAAGCAAAAAGCCAAATAAGCAGAAACAATAACAGTGTCCAAACATGAAATAATATCAAAGATCCCAGGTGCAAAGAAATATCAAATGCCTTTCATAAAAACCATGAACATAGTCACTGCTAATCCACTTGAAAAGCCAGGAAACTAGATCACAAGAATATCCAAAAGACTTAACTTTAAACCCAACGATGCCTGGTCTGAAGGAAATTTCCTAAGAGCTGAATTTAAGTCCCAGAAACTGATTTCTACTCCCCCAGTTTTTGGCCTTAACTGCCAAATTCTTCCTGACCTGCGTAAACATTGGGCCTCTCTATGGTTCTGGCTATTTCCAGACAGCGACTGCTCTTATCTATTACCTCCTTAACTGCAGCAGGTGTGAAACTATCCTGCAAACTCGAGCCTGGAATTTTCTCATGAGAACTTAGCCTTTCCCCAACCCTTCTCGATCAGAGTCTGTAGTAACCTTATTGTCCAAAGTATCTCCATTTTGCACCTCATCCTCATTGACATCCAAGACAGGCTCAGAACCATTAGAAGGGGGAAACACTATAACAGATTCAGGGTGAAACACAGGCTGAGTCCCAACACTGATGTGCCTGCGTTTATGTCTCCGCAGAGGCCCCCGAGAGCCAGGACCTGCCCAAGCGGTGCATCCGGGAGCTCTTCCCCTGGCGCAAGTGCTTCGTCTTTGACCGGCCGGCTTCGCGGCAGGACCTGCAGCGCCTGGAGGAGCTCCCCGAGTCACAGCTGAGCCAGGAGTTCCTGGAGCAGGCGCACCGCTTCTGCCGCCACATTCAGGAGAACGCCAGGGCCAAGGCCATCCAGGGGGGGCGCCTGGTGAACGGGACGCGTGAGTTGGCGGGAACTGGATTCATCATCACAAAAGAGAGGGGACGTGGGGGGGGGGGGCTGGCTCTCATTTAGACAGGATTGGCGCCAGAGCTGTGTATCTCCCTTCCCCCTTGCCCAGTGCTGGCGTCCCTGGCGGAGAGCTACGTGGGAGCCATCCGCAACAAGGAGGTGCCCTGCATCGAGAACGCGGTCCTGGCCCTGGCACAGTTGGAGAATAGGGCCGCTGTGCATGAGGCGGTGCAGCGCTACGACGAGATGGAGGAGCTGATGCGCCCGATGCTGCCCACGGAGGATGTGGCGAGGCTGCTGGTGGCCCATAGCTGTTGCGAGGAGGAGGCCCTCCGGGTCTTCATGGGCCGGGCCTTCAAGGACAAGGGCCAGCGCTTCCAGAAGCAGCTGGCGGTACGAGGCTGGCGAGGTTAAGGGAGGCTGTAGGGGCCCTATGGGGGTCTTAGGGAGCATGCCTCACCTCTCCCTCTCTGCCTTTGCCGACAGGATCAGCTGCAGGCGAAGTTAGGGGAGCTCTGCCGGCGGAACGAGGTGGCCTCTCTGGACCGCTGCCAGGCTGTCCTGATGGAGCTGTACCAGGAGGTGGAGGACAACGTTGTGCGTGGGCACTACCTGCAGCCGGGGGGCTACCAGCGGTTCCTCAGCGACCGGCAGAGCGTGGTGGATCGCTTCCACCAGGTGGAGGACAAGGGGCTCATGGTAGGTGGGGCAGCTGAGCCCCCCTCCCTCCCTCCTTCCCTCCCTCCCTCCCTCGTGGTCTCTATGAACACTGACCCCCCTTCCCTGTTCCCTCAGGCTGCCAAGGCCCTGCAGGACTTCCTGGCCTCCAAGGAGGAGACAGCGCAGTCCATCCTGCAGGCGGACCAGACCCTCCAGGAGAAAGAGAAGGAGCTGGAAGGTGAGTGAGTGTCCCTGGGGGCCATGTCACCTGCTCTGCGTGTTCACCTCTGGAGGACTGGCCGGGGGAGGAAGGGCCTTGCTGGGAGGACAGGTGGCACCTCCCAGTCCTGTTTGCTTCCAATTCCAGCGGAGAAAGTCCGGGCGGAGGCCGCGCAGAGGGAGGCGCAGCTGCAGAGGGAGATGCAAGAACGGGCCGAGCAAATGGCCCGGGAGAAGGAGAGGAGCTTTGAGGAGCACAAGAAGCAGCTGATGGCCAAGATGGAGCAGGAGAGGAGGACCCTCCTGGACGAGCAGGAGCGGCTGCTGCAGCAACGGCTCCAGGTAGACTCCCCAAAGGCTCCAGGTAGACCCCCCAAAGGCTCCAGGTAGACCCCCCAAAGGCTCCAGGTAGACCCCCCAAAGGCTCCAGGTAGACCCCCCAAAGGCTCCAGGTAGACCCCGCAAAGGCTCCAGGTAGACCCCGCAAAGGCTCCAGGTAGACTCCCCAAAGGCTCCAGGTAGACCCCCCAAAGGCTCCAGGTAGACCCCCCAAAGGCTCCAGGTAGACCCCCCAAAGGCTCCAGGTAGACCCCCCAAAGGCTCCAGGTAGACCCCCCAAAGGCTCCAGGTAGACCCCCCAAAGGCTCCAGGTAGACCCCCCAAAGGCTCCAGGTAGACCCCCCAAAGGCTCCAGGTAGACCCCCCAAAGGCTCCAGGTAGACCCCCCAAAGGCTCCAGGTAGACCCCCCAAAGGCTCCAGCGGCTGCACCAAAGGCTCCAGGTAGACCCCCAAAGGCCCCCTGCCACATCCAAGAGGTTGAAAGGCCACCGTCAGAGGGGAGCTGCCAGACCCCCAAAGCACAGGGGGGTTGCTGTGGAAGGGGTGGAGGGGAGGGGGCTCCGCTTCCCGCATGCCAACTCACCGTAGATTTATTACGTCACACAATTTCTGTCCCTGGGTTCCTGGCGTCTGAAAGGCGTGGAATGGGGGTCTCTGATGGATGTGGGGGGGGGAGGATAGCACCCCCAGGGCCGTCCCCCTCCCGCCCCTTCCCTGACACTTCCTTTCCCGCCCGCCTCGCAGGAGCAGCGCCGCCTCCAAGAGGAGGGCTTCCACAGGGAGGTCTCCCGAATGCAGGGCGAGATCCAAGGCCTGAGGCACCAGATCCAGAACCAGAGGAGCGGTGGAGGCGGAGGCAGGATCTGCACCATCTCTTGAGGATCCATCGAGGGCAGCCCGCTGACCGCCTTGGCCTCGCTCCAGGCTCCTCTCGGACTTGGTGCCAACTTCTCTTTTAAGCCGCTGCTTTTAACGGTGCCAACCAAGTATTGTGCCAAGTATTTATTATATTGCTTGAAAGGCTTGTCGTCATGGTAAACTGCTTCAAAGCCGGAGGATCTTGCGCAATTTCTGGCTCAAAGGGACCGGCATGAAACCCGGTGGGAGACTGGGGCGAGTCACACCCTCTCAGCCTCAGAGGAAGATCAAGCAAGGCAGCCTCCCTCCCCTTCCAAGAAGGACCAGGCACAACAACCACCATCCTCTCCCACTGTTTCAGTGGGACTTGCCTTGAGGGGAAGCGCAGCCGAGGATCCATGATGCAACCAGACCCAGAACCGAAGTGGAATGTGTGTGAGGCGCCTGTGTCCGGAGGCTGCCCATGAAAGGTCATTTATGAGGCCGAGGAGGCCCTCGTCCCTTTCTCCCTGGGCCAGCCCTGACCTCTCTGACCTCTCTGGGGTTTCCCAGCCCCTCCTTCACCTGGACTTCCCCAAAAACAGCATCACAGGGTTGACACTAATGGACTTGGCACACATTTATAGTTACTCATAATAATAATAA